GGCCACGTAATCGCTTTATCAGGACTGCTGTTCCCCCGGCCTTCGGGCAGGAGGGGGCTCCTGGGTGCAGGAGGAGGAGCAGGACCTGTGAAGGGATCGTGAAAGGTTGGGGCTGGGGGTCCTATTTAGGTTTAGGAACAAGGACGCGACCAAGCACGGCATTGGGGGGTTGAGTTTGGGTAACGCATCGTCTTGAATCTGTAAGATGCTGCGCACGACTGATTTGGGGGGCTGTGGCGAGAGTGATCTAGACTTCATCGTTTGTTTGTTTTTTGAAGGGAGTAAGATTAGTCTAGGAGTAAGAATTCTTGACTAGAAAGGACCCCTTCGTGGAGCATTCTTGGCAGCATGTTAGGTGGGTGTCAATATTCTAGGGCACCGAGCTGGACAAAAAGACTAGCAAGTCAAAGTGGCTTGAAGGCATTTATTAAAAAATAGGAGCCCGCATGGGAAGTAGAGCACAACACTGGGCCTCCATAAGGACCCGCGATGGGGACGCCCCATAGGCAGCAGTGTCCAAGTTTACCAGACTTTGGCAGGACTTATGTGAATCAAGATTCACTGTTGTTTCTTGGAGCAAGGCCATTTTGATAAGCACTGAAGCCTGTGTGACCTAAGGATTTCTCACTGATCCCTGTGGCCCACACCTCCTTTGTCTCTTTCCTTGGAAACGGTTCATTGTTCACAAGCCTGTTGGACATTTTCATCAGCTGGCCACGTGGTTAAGAGCGTATCATTTGCTTGCTTGCTGTTCATTGGATTTGGGAAGTAGCCTGGGAGGCTACACACCCTATTGTTTCCATGATCGTTCGCAGAAATAAACTTCAAATTTCTGGAATGTACCTGGTCTTTTCCTTGGCAGTAACAGTGACCACGTCCAACCTCAACAGTTTTAGAAGTTCTTTCCTGACCCTTCCCTCACCCCCGCCCCCCAGCCTTGGACCTGTGTACAGGATTGAGCCAAGTTGGAGTCTGAAAATCAAGAACAGAGTGTTTAGCTAGAGATTTTGGTATACTTAGCATGTGCACAGTTCCTTTATTCTTGGTTTGAATCCCAGGTTAGTGCTGCCACGGCCCTTTGAGGAGTCTCGGTTGTCACAAATGTCCGTGTGCATGTCTCCTAAACAAGTTCATCTTGGTCTTTCAGGAGGGTGGAGTTTGTGGTCTGGGCAAGAGCTGAGGCATAGACTTAACGGATCTCAAGAGTGACTTTACAAGGTCACATTGTCCTGCTCCTGTAAGTGTCTGCTACTCTCCCCTCAAGGCGTTGTTTCCACAACCAGTGCTTTCTCCATATATTGCCTGCTTCCTGGCTTCGTGTAATTTTCTCAGCGCGTTATTTCCCCAACCAAGGAAGAAAGCCTATGAAGAAAGAGTAACCCAGGCCTTGTCTTTCTTTTAATCAGTTCACACGTATGTAAACTTGATGGTCTGCTTTCTTTTTTTTGGAATGCTTGGCGTGATCACAGTGGAGGGTTTCACTATAAGTGGGAACATCTATAGGACCCCGATGTATGATCTAATGCTGTGAGTTGGAATTGACTTGACAGGGCCCGAGTGTCTTCATATTTAGGCAGAAATGTGGACTCCCCTGGAAGTGCACACAGTTAAGCTCACTAACTTGCTGAAAGTTTGTTAGTTCAAACCTACCCAGAGGTGGCTTGAAAGGTAAGCCTGGCATTCAGCTCCTGAGAGATCGCAGACTTGAAAAATGTAGGAGCTCTTCTCTTCTGCATATCTGAAGTTCAGTGGACTCACACTGGAGCTCACACCAGCCAGTAGGTGGAGTGAGATGATGTTTGGGCTAATCCAGCTGAGACCATTCTGAAGGTGGCATTGCCTTCTCACACCACCTTCCAACAGCAAATGAGTGGAGGACTGTTTCCGGTCAGGTGACATACACAAGCTCACACTAACAGGTTATCTTTGCAGAAGTCATAGTGACTTTGAGTGGCTCAATTCAAACCTACAAACGTCTCCAAGTATAGGGACACGAGGAGTTGATCACAGTGGAAGTATGGGCCCAGGCTGGCTGCTTCATGACCTGACTGTCTGTGGGGCGTTTCCGAGTCTCTTTCTCCAAAGGCATTGAGCTGTACTCTGTGTTCTCTTTGGCTCAGATCGCAGAAGCTGATCTGGAACCTGGAAATGGAGCCTGAGATGTAGGGACCTACCAGCACAGTCAAGTTTGGCAGGTAAAGAAGAGCGTGTCAGGGAACCAGATCGGAAGGCTTCCAGATTAGAAAGGAATCAAGGTGGAAACTCCAGAGCCCCTGTCTGTCCTCAGCCTCTGTGCATGACGGTTGAGGAGCGTGTGAGGATGGGGTTGCTGCTGAAGAGGCCGGAGTATAGAGCACACACAGGATCCAACAGTCTCACGTTCGTTTCCATTCCATAGATGAGTGGAAAACGAGGAAGTTTGATCCGTGAGGTGTGAAGAAACTACCCCAGGCAACAGAGATGCTGCTGGATATAAAATCCATTCCAAGGGACAGGATTTTAAGGCAGTCACTGGACTGGATGTAGAGTATTGCATTGCTGTTCCGTTCTGTCCAGGAAGAGCAAAGATTTTCTCCTCAAAGCACAGAGAAGGCGTGGAAACCATGGAACAACGGACTCAGAGATATAAGGGAACAGGTGAGAGTGGTTGAGGGTCTGCGGAGGGGGAGAGGGGGACCAAAGCTCCTCCGTCAGGTTGACTGTATGGGGCACAATGGCTTCTTTTTTCCCTCTCACGTTGGAGAAGCTACTCTGGGATCGTTGTGGCTGGTGTCCTCCCTCACATCTTCTGTTGTTTTGTTTTTTTCTTGCAGGTTTGTCTTCTCAGTTTCCAGACTATCCCCAGGAGGAAAAGGAGAAGCCCCAAATCCCGGTGAGTTGGAACTCTTTCTGTTGTTGAGGTTAGTTCCCCTGGAGTTGTCTCCAACCCATTGGGGACCCCGTGGATAACAGATAGAGCTACTGCCCAGACTTGCACCATCCTTTCAATGGTTAAGTTTGATTCCAATTTTACAACCATGTACTCATTCTGTCATGTCAAGGGTTTTATAATTTTTATTTAATTGACCTTTTACCTTGCCCTAGAGCCCTAGAGGTGGTGGTGTTGCTTGTTGGCCTGTGATCTGCATGGTTCAGTTTGAAACCACCAGCAGATTCGAGGGAGAAAGACTGTATTTTCTGCTTCGTAAACAGTTAAGAGTCTCAGAAACCCACAGTGGTGTCGCTGTGAGTCAGGACTGACTAGGTGGAAGTGTCTGTTTTTTGGATTTTTCATATGGCCAAGCATGAGGTCGGTGAAGCACCCGTTTGAGCTGCCCATCAGCTGTACAAGCGAAAGACGACACCTGCTTCCGAAAGTTTGACAGCTTCTGAATCTCCTCTGTATCATGGGAACACCATGCGTCTGCATGGATCAGACAGCCTTGGTTCAATTGCTTCTTGTTATTTCTGTGGATAACGTCGTCTGCGTACAATAGCAGCTGTGGATGAATGAACGAGTGCAGACCACACCCAGTCCCCTTTTGGAGGGGTGATAACAAAATGTGTGATTGCAACAGTAACCTGTCTCCCCCACGGATACACACATCACAGACAGCCTTGCAGGCTGCACACCAGTGAGTCATAGATTTGCCATTAGACTGAGAAGAACCTTTCAGCCTTAGCCAACGGGAGACCTAAGGAGCCGTGGGCAGCTCAAGGGGTCGTGCTGCCTTCCTCTGCACCCGGCCAGGTGTGCAGTTTCCTGCTGTCTGGCCTCACAGGAGTGGAGTGGAGAAATGATATCTTATGTGTCCTCCCTCGGTGACTCCAATGATGGTGATATCACTGTCTGCAAATGTCCTTTATGTGGAATGTGTCTGCTCTTCGGTAATATGTTTCCTGTTATATGTGATACCGCACTAGGTGGTGTCATGTCGAGGACTTGATATGGAAAGATCATTACAATTCGTAGACCAAGATTACGGATTGACAGATCCCAGTCAGTTTCCTAAACTTTTCAGCAGAGCTCCTTCCAGACCCAACTGTTCAATTCCACATTTCTCTCTCATTGAACTTTCCTTCCATCTTCTCCTGGAACTCCTCACTATTTCTTAATACTTAGCACAGGTCCTGGCTCTAGGATGCCTTCTGTTCATTTCTAGCCCACTCCATATGCCCTCACACTTGAATCCCTCCTTTATGAATTCTCAAAGGCATTAATCGAACTATTGCCTAATGCTCTCAGCAAGAGCCTGTGTGCTGCCACATGCCATACTTTGTGATGTGAACCACAAGGTCAGCATTTCGAATCCAGCAGTGGTTGTGCCAGAGAGTGATGAGACTTTCTACTCCAGTCCGTATTGATAGTCTTGGAACACCTGATTGGAAGTTCTACCCTGCCCTGAAGGGTAGCTATGAGGGGAAATTGAATATGGCAATGAATTGTACATTTTTTGTTGGCTTGGTTTTCTTTCTTTCCTTTTTTAATCATTTTATCGGGGGCTCTTACAGGTCTTATAACAATCCATACATCCATTGTGTCAAAGACATTTGTCCATATGTTGCCATCATCTTTTTCAAAACAGTTTCTTTCTACTTCAACCTCTGGTATCACCTCCTCAATTTTTAAAACCCCCCCCCTCACCCTCATGAACCCTTGATAAATTATAAATTATTATTTTCATATCTTATGCCGTCCACGGTCTCCCTTCACCCATGTTTCTGTGGTTCATCACCCTGGGTGTGGGGGAGTTGTAAATTTTTAATCTTGTCCTATTCGTTCACAAATTAATTCCCTAGTGACCTTACACAAACATTCCAACTCCAGGATGTATTTTGTGCATCACTGATGGTCCCTATAGATTTGTCCCAATGCCATGAATCCAGCCACGTCAACAAGAACATACCGTGGACAACCATGTTGTCTAAAAGGCTTAGGTGAAATTCTTTAGATATTGACTATCCAGGGACATCTGTTTAGCTCCCCTTATTGGCAAAGGTGATGTAGATTCTGTGTTCACTGATTCATTTTAGGAACCTGTGACGTTGGAGGACGTCACCATTGTCTTCACAAAGTCCGAGTGGAGGAGACTGAGCTCTGAGCAGAAGGATCTGTACAAGGAGGTGATGCTGGAGATTTACGGGAATCTGCTTTCCTTGGGTGAGGATGTGCCTCTCTTCTTTCCCTTCTTTAATTCTGTAGATTTTTTTGGCCACCTACTGTGTGCCCCAGGAGTCCTGGTGGCATAATTGCTAACACTCAGCAGTTCATTGAAAGATTGAGCTTTGAATCCCCACATAGCTTGGAGGCGGGGTTGGGGGGGAATGTGAGAATCTACCTCCATCAAGATGTGCAGTCTTGGACTCCACGTGGTACATTCTTCACTGTCCTTCAGGACTGCTGTGGGCACAGCCGATTTGTTTTTGCATTTTTTCTACTTCATGATTAAAGGGTTTCTTAACAAAGTCAACAGGTAGCCATGCAGGGGAGAAATGCGCAGGATCTAGTTGTTCAGTTGGGATGTGTGACACAGTTCTTTCACGGATGCTTATCAAAGCTGAAAGGCATGTCATTCTGCTATAAGCCTCAACCCCAAGGAGCTCAGCTCCTTCTCTGGGGGTTAACAAATGCAGCTGCCCTTCTCCAGTTAAGGACCCAGAGGCACCCCATTTCTCCAGGCAGCCTCCTGCCCCAAATCCCTGGGCTTTACTTGCTCTGTGGGCTGAGAAGTCCACCACTGTGTCTCAGGTTGAGACTCTGCTTGTGTTGCTGTCGATGCTGCTCTTCCTCCCTCTGCGGTCACAGCTGTCTTCTGGGTCAAGGCGGTGCACGTCCCAGGACAAGCTCTGCTCCTGACTTGCTGGTAGTAAGATCCCCCATGCAGCCTCTGAGAGCTCATCTTATGTGCAGCAGGATGGCCATCACGGTGGATCCTGTTAACCAGCCCTCCCCACTGAATCCTCTCAGTGTCTGCCCCACCTTCTCTTATTTAGACCCTCGGGGGAGGGGTCATCAATGATAAGTACAAGGATGATGGCTCGAAAAGCCACATTAAATAAATATATTTATGCAGGCGTCTGTCCTGTTCATTGTTCCATTCAGTTACTTAAATGCTTATTTTCTTGTCTTTCATAAATTTTGGAAGATTCCCCCCACCCCCCAATATTGCTTCTGCTATAGCTTTCTTGTTTGTTTGTTTCCCAAGGTTAAAAACCTCTTCCTGTTTTGGATTTCTGATCCCATCTCAGTTATTCCTTTTGGTGGTCTCCCATGTAATCTTAAGCTTTCCTCAGATTTGTTGTTTCTGGTTTTCTGATCTTTCAGTAAATTCAAAAGTTATCTCTAAGCTGCTTCAACCTTCCATTGAGTCCGTTCTTCTCCTTTGTCCTTTCGACGTATCGTCTCTTCTTTGAAAGAGCATCAATCTTCTGTTTTAATCGCTTTTCTTGTGTGGTTTCCATGTTTGGTTTGTTTTGTCTTTTTGTTCTTGTTCTACTGTCCCACATTCTTAGGAAGTTATTTCTGTGCCTTAGTTTTTTCTTTCGTCTCTATAAAACTGTTGAAGTTGTCTAACTACACTTCTTCTGAATTCCTTCACAGGGAATTCCGTTCGTATTTCTTCCTCAGAAAGCATGTTTGGCTCTGTGTTTTGGTCTCCTGTTTGAGCGACTCTGTTTTGTTTCTGCGTCAATGGAAACTCTCTGATGTGTCATGGGCATTGTGGTGGCGGTGTACATGTATGTAACTGATGGTTGTGTGTTGCTGTGTTCCTAGATACTCAGTACCCAGACGTTGTGATAGAGAACGTGAGCGTATGTGCAGGTCTGTGTTCCTGCAGCTCAGCTAAGTGCGGGTCTGGCTGATGTTGGCGGTGACTATTTGTGTCAGTCCAGTTGAATAGAGAAACAAATCCAAAGACACTCTTATGTGTGTAAGAAAGAGCTTTATATGAAGAGTAATTGTATATTAAGAAAACCTCCCAGCCCAGTCCAGATCAAGTCCATAAGTCTGATATTAACCCATATGTCCGATACCAATCTTTAAATTCCTCTTCAAACTCAGGCGACACATGCCATGATGCCAAATGCAGGAAGGTCACAGGTCAGTGGGCGGCAAGTCTTGTGCATCCAGTGGCAGTGAAAGCATCTTAGTGCTGGCGTGGGTCTCTATGTGGCTCCTCCAGCTCCAGGGCTCTAACTGCATCAAGTTCGTGGTCAGGACTGTTTTGCCAGGGAGAGTGTGTATGTCCTGCCTCCAGTGAACTATGTATCTCCTTAGCGCCTCCAAATGAGGTCATCAGGCTGTGACCTGATTGACAGCCTAGGCTTCACTCTAAGTCTCAAATTGACAACAGATTATGTAACTACCAGACTATTGGTGATCAGGTGGAACAAGCATTGGTAGGGTCGTTTGCCCAGGTGGTGGGGCTGCAGGAGCTCCAAAGGTGCCTGGTCTGTTGGTTGTTGTCTCCTTTCCTCTAAAAGTCAGGGTTCCAGAATTATCTGAGAGCCCCAGCCTTTCACAGTGGTGGTCTGTGTAGCTTGTTCACCTCGTTCTCGGCCAGTGGGATATACTCTAGTGGACGGCAACAGGTGAATGTGCTTTGCTCTCTGTCAAAGGTTCCTAGGGAGGCTAACAGTTGCCTTCCACTATGTAGTATAGGTTGGTGAATCAAACCCCGCCCAGTGGCGGCACTGAAGAAGTGTGGTACTATGTGCCCATCAAACGCTGTGGGTCAAGTAATAGAAAATAAATAAACAGCATAACATCCCGATAGAGCAATTCAATTATGTAGCACCTGAGTGGCTATGCATTTGAACTGGTGCCACCTCATTTATTATTGTGAGCGCTATTGGGTTTTTTTGTTCTTATGCACCAGCTCACTTTGTAGACACGGAGAACAGGTAAGTGAGGCGATGCTACCAGCACCTGTTTTGACTTGCCTTTGCTTCATGTACAAAGAGACAAAGTACAAAGTTTAAGCGTTATCTATGAGGGGACTTCATTTGTTGGGATTTAACTGATACATTGTATAAATATTATTTCTTAGCCTAAGCCCTCCTTAGGTGAGCCTGAATAACAGGCATTCAGGCCATACTTAAACTTAGGATCTTCCACAGGTAACTTTGTCAATGTCATGTTTTTCGCAGTAGTAAAGGGCGGGGCGGAGGGCGGGGAGTGTAAAAAAACTTTAAAAACATTTCTTTAATGGTTACATGCTGTATTTAGTCAAAAGAAGGTGAATTTGAACTGTAAGGTTTCTGCCTTATGGTTTCCCATCGATGTGGTGGTTATTACATGGCATTGAGCCATTTCTGACCCATAGCGACCCAGTGTGCCACAGAAGGAAACTCTGCCCCATCCTGCACCATTGACACTCTGTCCACCTGAATCCTGTTTAATGAGCGGCACCAGCGGGAGCATTGTCTTGGTGGAGAAGGAGTCCCTGGTGAAGAACCTGGGAAATTTTCTGCTACGGCCATTAACCTCATGCCTTACCCAGGGGCTTCCGTCCATCTGGGGATGTGAGTCACGTGGGAAGGGTGACCGCCAAGGCAGGACCCCTCATGGCTGTTCTAATGGAGCACCTTCTTTCTTCAGCAGAAGCAAAGCCAGAAAACAGTGCCTCCTGCCTTTTGCCTTTCCCCTGTCAGCACGTCCTCAGCCAACTACTGCTTCCGAGCTCCCCAGACCCAGGTGCCGAGCATCACTTCCATCCCTGGAGATCCTGCCCAGAACATCCGAAGCAGCCAGAGCAGCAGGATTCTGGTCAGAGCTGCTGGAGGGAAAACACTGAGAGTCAGGAGAGAGACAGCGCCTTCAAACCCTTGTGTGTAGCGACATCCGGGGAATCCTCCAGCCCAAACGAGAGACGGTCAAAAAGCCCTAGAGAAGGTCACCCAGGGGCAGGAATAGAGCCCAGCTCAGCTCAGAGGGGGTCGCCTGTGAGAACGGATAAAGTCAGGAAGGAATTGGGAACCTCAAGTGTTGGTGTTGTCAACCACAGAAAGAACAGAGCAGACTGTGACCAGACGTCAAATGACATCACAAGCCAAAGGCCCCTCCCCCAGGAGAAGCCCTGTGTGTGCTACGAGTGTGGGCGAGCTTTCAGCCGGCAGTCATCCCTCCTTGTCCACGAGAGGCTACATTCTGGGGAAAAGCCACATGTGTGCAAAGAGTGTGGCCGAGCCTTTAGCTGGAAGTCTTCCCTCCTGCGCCATCAGAGAACACACTCCGAGCAAAAGACACACGTGTGCAAGGAATGTGCGCGGGCCTTTAGCCAAAAGTCAGATCTAATCAAACACCAAAGAACCCACTCAGGTGCCAAGGCCTATGTGTGCAAGGTGTGTGAACGAGCCTTTAGCCAGAAGTCAAACCTCCTTGTCCACCAGAGGAGACACTCTGGGGAAAAGCCCCATGTGTGCAACGAGTGTGCGCGGGCCTTTAGCCATAAGTCAGATTTAATCACACACCAAAGAATCCACTCTGGTGACAAGCCATATATGTGCGAGGTGTGTGAACGAGCCTTCAGCCAGAAGTCAAACCTCCTTGTCCACCAGAGGAGACACTCTGGGGAGAAGCCACATGTGTGCACTGAGTGTGGGCGAGCCTTTAGCCAAAAGTCACAACTAATCATACACCAGCGGATGCACTCAGGGCAAAAGCCCCATGTGTGCAATGAGTGTGGGCGAGCCTTCAGCCGGAAGTCACATCTCATCACACATCAGAGGATACACTCTGGGGAAAAGCCCCATGTGTGTGATGAGTGTGGACACGCGTTTATCCAGAAGTCACATCTCATCATACACCAGCGGAGACACTCTGGGGAGAAGCCGCATGTGTGCGATGACTGTGGGCGAGCCTTTAGCCAGAAGTCACCCCTTCTTGACCACCAGAGGACACACTGTGGGGAAAAGCCACACCTGTGCAAGCAATGTGGACGAGCCTTTAGCTGGAAGTCAAGCCTCCTTGTCCACCAGAGGAGACACTCTGGGGAGAAGCCACATGTGTGCAGTGAGTGTGGGCGGGCCTTCATTTTGAAGTCACTGCTGATCATACACCAGCGGACCCACTCTGGACAAAGGCCACCTGTGGGCAAGGAGTGTGTGCGGACTTTCAGTGGTAAGTCGTCTCTCCTTTTGCACCAGAGGACACACACTTTGGGAAAACCACACATGTGCAATTAGTGTGGGTGAGTCTTTGTCCGGAAGTCCTCTCTCCTCCATCTGGGAGCAAGCTACATGTGTGAAGCCACAAGGCGTCATTTACCTTTTTTCCATTATTAGCAACAAGCTACAACCCTTCTAGGAGGCTACATATACTTGACATTTGCATAGTCCTAGCCAGTCATTTGTTAAAAATCCCATAGACGACAGCTAAAAGAGCCATATCAAGTGGTTAACTACCCAGCAAATATCATTACTAATGCACAAAAGCAAAAAGTTCCCGAAGATGATTTACAAAATGCTAGCGGCAGTGTTAGCCCATATATTAGCTTTTAGTCTGGCGCAATGGAGGCTATTCAATACGTACTGTTAAGTGTCTACGTGGAACAAAGAATGAGAAGAAGCAATTTACTATTTGAAGGGAGCTAAGAGAACAAGAATATCAGGCAGTTTAATAGGCGTTGCCTATGTTTCATATGTGAATCAACATGTATACACTTTTCTTTAACAACCTTAAGCACACATTGAATGCACGTGAACAAGAATTCTTAGAATACATGTTTTAAGTACCTTGGAGTTGGTTTTGACTCCTAAGGAACCTATGGACAACAGAAGGAAACACCGCCCAGGCTTGTCCCATTCTCACCATTGTTCTCATGTTTGAGCCCACTGCTGTAGCCACTGTGTCCGTTCTGTGCTAGGATGGGTCCATTTAACCATCTGTGACGTCCTCCACCCACTGGTATTTCCTGATAACGTGTCCAAAGTGCGTGAGATGAAATCTAGCATCTCATGCCTCTAATGAGGATCTGCTGAACTTCTTCCCAGACGTTTTGTATATTCTTTTGCCAGCCCATGTTTTGTATTTCCCCCCCTGAGATTGTAACTGGATTTTTGTTGTTGCTGTTTGTTTTATTTTTTAGATAATTTTATTGGGTATTCTTACAACTCTTGCTACAATCCATCCATTAATTATATCCGACATATTTGTACATACGTTGCCATCGTTTGTTTCTAGACATTTACTTTCTATTGAGCCCTTGGGATCAACTCCTCTTTTTCCCCCTCCCACCTGTTTCTGGTTTCTTTTTTTTAAATCATTTTATTAGGGCTCATACAACTCTTATCACAATCCACACATACATCAAGTGTGTAAAAGCACACTTATACATTGCCCTCATCATTCTCAAAACTCTCGCTTTGGGCTCCTGGAATCAGCTCCTCATTTTAATTTTTTTCTCCTCCCCTCCTCCCTCCCCGGGATTGGAACTATTTATGGGAGTAGACAACCTTGTCTTGCTCCCTTGGAACTGCTGCTGGTTTCCTGCTGCCGACCCTGCAAATCTCAGCCCAACTATTACCACGTTCAATGAAATACATAGCAGGCCACAAAACAACATAGAATATACTAAAAGGATTCTGTATTAGTCTAGGTACTTTGGAGAAACAAATCCACAGCAACTCATGTATAAGAGAGAGTTTTATGTAAAGAAAATGTGCATCACGAAAACATCCCAACCCAATGCTGCCCAAGCCCACAAGTCCAACATTAACCCATTACCCCAACACCAGTCCACAAAGTCCTCCACCTCACGAAACAGAGGCAATGATGCTGACTGCAGGAGGAAAGCTGAGTCAGTGAACGAGTAAGCATCTCAGCACTAGCAGGGTCTCCACACGGCTGCTCCAGCACCCAGGGCTGCATCGGGATAGGTCCATGTAGCTTCTCCTTGGGGATGTCTTGTAGGAAGTCAATCTTGCAAGCTGAAGCAGGGAACTGCTAAGGCAGCTGCACCCTGGTGCAACCATCACAAAGCAAGAGACCCGACAACTAGAAAGGCGAGGCTCACCACCCATTTATCCCTCCGCCTTTCAATTAGCCCCACATGTGATTATCGGCCAGGCTGGCACAATTAACTAACTCAGATTCTAAAATGTGTTACCTGAATATTTACTTTCCATATGATAGCACCTTATCATTCTCACGTTAAACATGAAAACTGAAGGGGTCCATGTGACTCCAAGTAGCATTCCACTAGTAATTAATATTCCACTCTCCTTGAACCCTTGGGAAACACTTGATGCTTACAGTGATAAATGTAAAACTTACTTCAGCAAAATTGATTATACTTCAACGTGGCTGACAGAAATGTCAAGAGATGCTGCTCATAAGACACAGCAACACATAAAATAAACTGCTCCTGGAAAATCAAGCTGGATCCAGAAGAGGATGTAGAACAGAACAAATATTGCCTATGATGTAACATCGATCTTGATCCTATGTTTCCTTATTGACCTTCTCTCGAGATGTTCGAATGCTGAAAGTGGTCTTGTGGGATCTTGAACTATTTTTATAGTAGAATCTCTTCCTTCAATGGATCAGTGTTTGCCTAAGTATTTATGTGCTGTGTTATTGAGGGCATGTATATTATGACTGTTCAATTTTCTTGATAAATTTGTCCTTTCATCATTATATAGTATGTTTATCTCCTAACAGATTTTGTATTAAAACCTACTTTATTTGATACAGAGATTTTTTTCCCAGTTCTCTTTTGGTTGTGATGTGTACATGGGCTATTTTATCCATTCTTTTCCATTCAACGTATTTCTGTCCTTGGGAGTAAGGAATGTCTCAGAGAAATTGCAGAGTCAGATCATGTGTTCTTTTCTTTTTTTTATTAATTAAATTTAAAAAATAATTTTATTGGGAGCTTGTACAACTCTTATTACAATCCATACATCCATCCATTGTGTCAAGCACATTTGTACATTTGTGTCCCTCATCAGTCTCAAAACATTTGCTTTCCACCTGAGCCCCTGGCATCAGCTCCTCATTTTTTTCCCTCCCTCCCTGTGCCCCCCTACCTCATGAACCCCTGACAATCCACACATTTTTGTTGTTGTCATATCTTACACTGTCCGACGTTCTCCCTTCACTGACTCCTCTGCTGTTGGGAAGAGGAGTCATATGTAGATCCTTATAATCTGTTCCCCCTTTCTCCCCCACTCTCCTGGTATCGCCACTCTCACCACTGGTCCTGAAGGGATCATCTGTCCTGGATTCTCTGTGTTTCCAGTGCACATCCTCTGGTCCAGCCGGACCGATTTCCACGGAGCTCTAGATGTGAGCTACCTATCTGGCCACCATCTTCCCTGAGTCCCCAGATCATGTTTTCAAACGCATTCCAATACTCAGTCTTTCCATTGGAGCATTCAGCTCATTGACATCCATTGCAATTATTGATTAGAAGCAACTTATTTATGCTGTTATGTAAACATGCCTCACACTGTCTTGGTCCTTTTCCATGACTACAGTTTGCTGTTGTGTTTTGATGCTTTATTCCTTTTGTGTGTGTGCTGTGTTAGGGTGGCTCCTCAGGAGAAGCAGAACCAGGGACTCTTGAATGTGTATGTCTATTAAACGCAGTTATATCAAGAAACGGCTCACCCAGTTGAAGCCTATCAATTCAGGCTGGTTCAAATTTGGAGGGCAGAAGTAAGCTAAAGACCGCTCTTGATTCTTGCTATATGGACTCATGAAGGGAGAGTGGGAAGACTCAAGAAGGCCTCAGGCTGGTGGATGCTGAGCTGAATGAATTTGAGGTCAGCAGAGTCAGTCCAAGGTCAGCACTTCTCTGATGGCTCGTAGGACCAGCTGGCAATAGAGTAGATCAGTGACCCAGAGGCAGGATCCCAATCCATCAGCAGAAGTCAGCTGCTTCCATACATGGACAGTTTAAGATTTGGCCATACCAGGAAGAGACCCTCCTGTGGTAGTCACCTAATCTGATGTCAATTTAAGGATTAGAAGTGTAGAGGTGGAGTCTAGGCTGTCAATCTGGAAATAGCCAATGAGACTTCTGTGGGCATGACCTCTAGGAAATCTGGGACTTCCTCCTTGGAGGCAGAAGACACCTCTCTCTCTGCTACTGCCTGGGAGACATAGCAGAAGACAAGCCACATGGACGCAAAGTGGAATGACACCCCCACCCCCCCCAAATGACATAGATGGAGGAGAGACATCTGGACTTTATTTCCAGAGGGCCTGAGAGGTTTCAGAGGAAACAGCTGCGAATATCTGTTAATACTTGAATCATGGGTGTGCAAAGTGTGAATCTCGGAAAGCTGGAAGTTGTCAAAAATGGAAAGCATAAAGATCATTATCTTAAGCGTTAGGGAGGTGAAATGGACGGGTATTGCTCACTTGGACTTGACCAGCCCTAAGATTTCCTGTGCCAGTAATGACCAATTCATGAGAAATGGTGTCACATTTGTAGTCAAAAAAGACATCGCAAGATGTATCTTAAATGCTGTTATGAGATATGTCCGCATCCAGGAAAGATCAAAAATCTCTACTCAGAGTGATGCCTCAACCACTAAAGCGCTTGATAAAGACATTGAGTTCTTTAATGCCTTCAATCTGAAGTTGATGAAACACGCAGTCCAGATGCTTTGATAATTATTGGCAATTGGAATGAAATAGTTGGAAACCAAGAGGGACAGTCATTAGAAAAGTATGGCATCAGCAGAGAAGCAACAAGCCCCCAGGGAAGAAGCACACCAGCCTGTGCAATCATGAGGTGTGGGTGGAAGCAGGTAACAGGCACCAGAAGACCCAAAACATTAAAAGCAAAAAAAGTTGAGAATGAGGGGGGTAGAAGCAGAGACCCAAAACCCATCTGTAGACAATTGGACATCCCCTCACAGAAGGGTCACAAGGAAAGGATGAGTCAATGAGGGTGCAGTATAGCACTGATGAAACAATCTTCCTCTGTTTCTTTGAGGCTTCCTCACTCCCCTCTATCATGACCCCAGTCCTGCCTTTCAAGTCTGACTGGACCAGAGCATGTACACTGGTACAGATAAAAACTCAAAATACATGGAATCCAGGTCAGATAAACTTCTCAGGAACGGAAGTGGGAATAGCGATTCCAGGAGTGTAGTGGGGGGAGGACGGGAGGAAGGGAGAACTGATCTCAATGATTGACACAGAATCCCTGCCACCCCATGGGGATGAACAACATAAATGTGGGTGAAGGGAGACAGTGGTCAGTATAAGATATGGAAACAATAATTTATCAAGGGGTCACGAGGTGGGGAGTGGGGAAAAAGAGGAGCTGATACCAAGGGCTCAAATAGTACTAAATGTTTAGAAAACGATGATGGCAACATATGTACAAATATGCTTGATACAATTGATGTATGGAATGCTGGAAGAGCCCCCAATAAAATTATTTAAAACCGTATATACTTGTGTATAAGCCGAGTTTTTCAGCACATTTTTTAATGCAGTTTTAGTAGTAAAATTAGGTGCCTCGGCTGATCTTTGGGTCAGCTTATACTCAAGTAATATATAGAGTATGGCAATAGAAGTGATGCTTTAGATTGCACGATAGAATTTTGGAAGACCACTTTCTGTCTGTGGACGTGGTGGAGGAAGCATCTTTAGGATTGTTCCCCAAACTTCAGGGCTGTCATGTCAAAGTCAGAGTCTCCTAAAGAGCCCAAAGAGCAGTGGAGACCTTCGTCAGAGAGCTGAGCTTTGAAACAATAGATGAGAGCCTGCAGAGCCATTTTGAGCAATATGGGATACTCTCAGAATGTGTGCTCCTGGAAAGATCCAAACCCCCACGTGCTCCAGAGGCTTTGTGCTTGTCACTTCCTCTACTGTGGAGGAGGTGTGGGCAGCCATGGATGCAAAGCCACACCAGGTAGAAGGAAGGGTGTGGAACCAATTAGGTGCTGTCTCACAAGAAGACTCAAAGACCAGGTGCCCATTTAACTGTGAAAAAGGTCTTTGTGGCATCGAAGAAGGCACTGAAGTGCACCACTTATGAGATTCTTTTGAGCACTTTAAGAAAATTGAAGTAAGTGTAATCCTGACTGATGGCGGCAGTGGCAAGAAGAGGGCCTTTGCTTTGCTTTTGTGACTTTTCTTTTTCTTTTTTTAACATTTTATTAGGGGCTCATACAACTGTTATCCCAAGCCATACACACATCAATTGTGTAAAGCGCATTTGTACATCGTTTCTCAAAACAATTTCTCTCCACCCAAACCCCCGACATTAGGTCCTCATTTTTCCCCTCCCTCCCCGCTCCCTCCTCCCTCATCAGCCCTTGATAGTTTATAAATGGGTACTTAATCATATCTTGCCCTGTCCGACGTCTCCCTTCACCCACTTATCGGTTGTCTGCCCCCCAGGGAGGAGGTCACACACAGTTCCATGAAATCGGTTCCCTCTTTCCTACCCATTCTCCCTTTACCCTCCCTGTTTTGCCACTCACACAACTGGTCCTATAGGGCTCATCCATCCTGGATTCCCTGTATTTTCAGTTCCTATCTGTACCAGTGTACCTCCTCTGTAGAGTGGTTTATGCCTTATGCTTTCCCAACAAGGTGGTTGTTGTTAGGCGGTGTTGAGTCATTCTGACCCATAACAACCCAATGCACAACAGAAGGAAACTCTGCCCCATCCTGCACCGTTGACACTCTGCCACCTGAGTCCTGTTTAATGAGCGGCACCAGCGGGAGCATTGTCTTGGTGGAGAAGGAGTCCCTGGTGAAGAGCCTGGGAAGTTTTCTGCTACCGCTTTCTCTACCTTTCTCACACATCGCTCATGAAGCTGATGGTATCATGAGGTGGCCCTCCAGAGAGAAAAGCAAGAAACTACCCTGAGCATCCCCCACACTGACATCAAGGTGACGGAGTTTCATAGTTATCCTTGACACAGTAGAACGACCCACCGGAGTGTCCAGGTTGTGAGCCTTTGCCGAACAGACTGCCACCCCGTTCTACTTGGGTGCATTGGGTGGTTTCCAAGCGCCAGCCATTCTACAAGTAATGGAGTGAGCCAACCCATGTGTCACCCGGCCCCTTATGGATTTCAATAGAACATGAGTGAAATTGGAGAATGAAGCATTTATTGTTGGGAGAGAAGTTTTGCTGTATATAGGTCAACTTCCAGTGTGTCATATCATAGTTCTTGTTTGCTGATGGGTCAATTCAGATCCACGATAGGACCACACATATGCAAAATAGGCCCACGCCATAGGGTTTTCTGAGCTGTGCTCTATTGAAATCTTATATCCAGGCCTGTTTTCAGGACCACTAACCTTTCAGTTACTCGTTTACCGTTATCCATTTGTCCTCCCCAGGGACTTCCGTCAGTCTGGGGATGTGAGTCACGTGGGAAGGGTGACCGCCCAGGCAGTTCTAATGCAGCACTTTCTTTCTCCAGCAGAAGCAAAGCCAGAAAACAGTGCCTCCTGCCTTTTGCCTTTCCCCTGTCAGCAAGTCCTCAGCCAACTCCTGCTTCCGAGCTCCCCAGGCCCAGGTGCCGAGCATCACTTCCATCCCTGGAGATCCTGCCCAGAACATCCAAAGCAGGCAGAGCAGCAGGATTCTGGTCAGAGCTGCTGGAGGGAAAACACTGAGAGTCAGGAGAGAGACAGCGCCTTCAAACCCTTGTGTGGAGCGACATCCGGGGAATCCACCAGCCCAAACGAGAGACGGTCAAAAAGCCCTAGAGAAGGTCACCCAGGGGCAGGAATAGAGCCCAGCTCAGCTCAGAGGGGGTCACCTGTGAGAACGGATAAAGTCAGGAAGGAATTGGGAACCTCAAGTGTTGGCGTTGTCAACCACAGAAAGAACAGACTAGACTGTGGCCAGACGTCAAATGACATCACAAGCCAAAGGCCCCTCCCCCAGGAGAAGCCCTGTGTGAGCTACGAGTGTGGGCAAGCTATGAAGCAAAAGTCAGTGGTCATCCAACACCAGAACGTGCACACTGTGGAAAAGCCATATGTGTGCAAGGAGTGTGGGCGAGCCTTTAGCTGGAAGTCTTCCCTCATCAACCATCAGAGAACACACTCCGGGGAGAAGCCACATGTGTGCCACGAGTGTGGGCAAACCTTTAACTGGAAGTCTTACCTCCTTAACCATCAGAAAATACACTCTGGGGAGAAGCCACATGTGTGCCATGAGTGTGAGCGAGCCTTTAGCCGGAAGTCACATCTCATCACACATCAGAGGATACACTCTGGGGAAAAGCCCCATGTGTGCGATGAGTGTGGGCGAGCCTTCATCCAGAAGTCACATCTCATCATACACCAAAGGAGACACACTGGGGAAAAGCCACATGTGTGCAATGAGTGTGGGCGTGCCTATCGCCACCAGTCACCTCTTCTTGCCCACCGGAGGACACACTCTGGGGAAAAGCCACACGTGTGCAAGGAGTGTGGACGAACCTTCAGCTGGAATTATGAGCTCATTAGACACCAAAGAATTCACTCTGGTGACAAGCCATATATGTGCAAGCTGTGTGACCGAGCCTTTAGCCAGAAATCATACCTCCTTCTCCACCAGAGGAGACACTCTGGGGAAAAACCACATGTGTGCAAGGAGTGTGGGCGAGCCTTTATTTTGAAGTCACACCTCATCATGCACCAGCGGGTTCATTCTGGACAAAGGCCATATGTGTGCAAGGAGTGTGGGCGTACCTTCAGCTGGAAGTTATCACTCCGTTTACACCAGATGACACACTCAGGGGAAAAGCCACATGTGTGCAAGGAGTGTGGGCGAGCCTTTAGACAAAAGTCAACACTCCTTTTCCACCAGAGGACACACTCTGGGGAGAAGCCATATGTGTGCAATGAGTGTGGGCACGCCTTCATCCGGAAGTCATATCTCACCCTACACCAGAGGATACACTCTGGGGAAAAGCCACATGTGTGCAAGGACTGTGGGGGAGCCTTTAGCCGGAAGTCGAACCTCGTTGTCCACCAGAAGAGGATACATTCTGGGCAAAGGTGACGTGTGCAAAGAGTGTGGGCATGCCTTGATCCGGAAGTCACAGCTCATCATACACCAGAGGACACACTGTGGCATTGGCACGTGTGCAAGGAGTGTGGGTGAGTCTTTGTCAGGAAGTCATCTCTCCTTACCCATCTGGGGACAAGTTACATGTGTGACACCACATGGTGTCATTGATCTTATTTCCATTATTAGCAAGCCAAAGCTCTTCTTGGGGACTACAAATACCTCGAATTTGGATAGTTCTCACCAGTCATGTGTTAAAAATCACAGAAACTACAGCTAAAAGAGGTATATCAAGTAATTACCCAGCAAATATCATTACTAAGGCACAAAATCAAAATTTCCTGAAGATGATTAAAAAATGCTAGCGTCAGTGTTTGCCCATATATTAGCTTTTTGTCTGGAGCAATGGAGGCTAGTCAATACATACTCTTCAGTGTCTACGTGAAACAGCGAATGAGAATAAGCAATGTATTGTTTGAAGGGAGCTAAGAGAACACCCAAGAGAATCAGGCGGTTTAATTGACGTTGCATATGCGAATCAACATTTATACACTTTTACTTAACGATCCAGTACACATTCCATACACGTGAATAATAATTCTTAAAATACATGTTTTAAGTACCTTGGAGTTGGTTTTGACCCAGAAGGACCCAATGGGCAACAGAAGCAAACACCACCCAGTCCTGTGCCATCCTCACAATTGTGCTTATGTTTGAGCCCACTGTTGCAGCCACTGTGTCAATCTATGTTGTTGTTGGTCCAACTCTTTTTAGGTAGCCCTGCTTTATGCCACCCATGATGTCTCCCACACACTGGTCTTTTCTGATAACGGGTCCAAAGTGCATCAGATGAACGGTGGCATCCCTTTCCTCTACTGAGGATCTGGCTGAATGTCTTTTAAGACATATTGCTTCAAAAAAGGGGGGGAAAATTAAATACATAGCTTTGGAAAAAAAAAAGACATAGTGTGTATTTTTTGGCAGTCCATGTTTTTGTTGTTGTTTTTCCCTTAGATTGTAACTGTTTACGGGAGGAGAAAGCCTATCTTTCTCCCTCGGAGCTGCGGGTGGTTTCCTACTGCTGACCATGCAAATCGCAGCCCAGCTACTAACCACTGCACCACTTCCAATGAAATACATAGCAGGCAGAAACATAAAAGATATAAAAAGGATTCCATAATCCAATATCTAACAAAAAATATATAAAGATATATTTTATGCAGGCATAAATATAAAATATGTAAACATTTATGCAGGCAAAACAAAATATATGAAAACATAAAATATATAAAAGGATTCTATAACCAATGATCTAACATTAAACATATAAACATATTTTATGCAGGCGTAAACGTAAAATACATAAAAACATAAAATATATAAAAAAGGATTCTATAATCCACTATCAAAACATTTATTTTCCATATGATAGCACCTTATCACTCTTAACTTTAAGCATGAATGCTGAAGGGGTCAGTGAGACTCCAAGTAGCATTCACCTAGTAATTAGTATTCCACTCTTTGAACCCTTGGGAGACAGTTGAAGCATACAATGATAAATGTAAAAACTACTTCAGCCAAACTAATTATACTTCAACGTGGTTGACAGAAATTTCATGGGATGCCATCTTGCTCATAGCCCCCAGCAGTACATGAACAAGCAGCTTCCAGAAAATGAAGCTGGACCCACAAAAGGATATAACGGCAAACTTTGCTGGTGATGTGACACAGATCTTGATCCTGTTTCCTTGTTGGCCTCCCTAGGTGTTTGAATGCTGAAAGTGGCCTATTGGGATCTTGAACTATTGTTGTAGTAGAATCTACTTCTCTTTTCAATTGATCTGTGTTTGCCTAAGTATTTATATGGTATGTTATTGAGGGCGTATGTATATATATGTATAATTGTTAAATTTTCATGATAAATGTATACTTTCATCGTTATGTAGTATGCAGTTTATCTCCTAGCAGATTTTGTATAAAACCTACTTTGTTTGATATTGAGATTT